TTGAATGGACAGGCTGAATGAGCTTTTAGTAGCAACCCATGAATAAAGCAGTTTTTTGACTAAAAATAGAAAACTTACACTGGGAATGGCTGAACAGTCAGTTTTTATAAAGCAGCTTAAGAGGGAACTATGAAATCATATAACATTAAAGACAAGTTGGCAGTAGAATGAGATGGACATCATTACCCTAAGTACATGTCTAAAGACAAGAATGGTATGAATATACTTTTTGTACAACCAGAGATATGAAAACTGTGCTCTATATGTATAATATGAATTATAATGGATTCTGCTGTCATATATAACAAAGTAAAAATAAAAAGACAAGTTGGTTGACATCTGGTAACTTCAGGTTGCTCTTCTTAAAATAGTAATGGTAGAAGGGCCTGACTATGCTAGCTAAAACCATCTGTTTGCAGTTACCAATCCTTTCCTGATTTCTAGAAGCTCAGATAAACAACTCAGCTTCAGTTTGGTGACATGGAATTTTATCATGAGTGATTCCATTTTGCTTTGGTCTGTTAGGGCTTTCTACAGGAATTCAGACAAAATCAAAAGCTTGCAAGAAATTTTATTTGACAACGGCAATATGAACTATGAAGCTGGAATTGGATATCCAGTATGCTGTTTCACCTTCTCATTGCTGGTAGAGGTTTACAATGATAAAATAGCCCAGAATGAATTTAACAGTGATGTACTTAGATATACATAATAGGTAATAACTCAATTTTCTCCAAAGCTGCCCCTAAACAGAATTAGGGAGAAGTGTATAGTAATTAGATTGTGACGAAGTTTTGTGTTTTTCTGGAGTAATTATGATTCCAATGGCACAATATGATTTTGGTTATAGACTTGTTTTCTTTTGGTACTGCATAAATATGTTTTCTTTTTCCATGAAGTCTTTTTAGCATTTGTTTTTTAGTAAGAACACTGGAAGCAGTTATTTAGTTTTCATGYTAATTTAATTAACTAATTTCACTAGAACATAACTCAGTCATTTTCCCCATTTGAGTAATGTTGTACTTGGAATAGGTCCATGATCCTTTGTATTAGAGTTATGTAGAGAAACAGAACAATGCAGAGGTTTTTTTTTTAAATAAGAAATTGACTCATACAATTTTTTATGCAAAGTCCCATATTCAACAGTTTGTAAATGGGACACAGACACTAGTATGGCAGTATGTAAAAAGTAGATGTGTAACCTGTGTGAATCTGCAATATGTATACGGGGTAAAAATGGGAGTTCATAATATGCTTGAATCAAATGTATGAAATATGATATGTCATGAGCTTTGTAATGTTTTGAACAACTAATAATAAAAAAAAATTAAAAATTAAAAAGAAAAAAAAAAAAAAAGAAAATCCAGGGATGAAATTCAGTCTGAATCCAAAGATCTGAGTACCGGGGGAGTCAATGATGCAGACACCAGCATGGGTCTGAAGGCCTGAGAGCCAGAGACACTGAGACCAGAACACAGACAAAATGGCAGGAGGAGTTGGATTCCTCTTTCCTCCACCTCTTCTTCTACTCAGACTCTCAAAGAGTAGATGAAGCTCACCCACACTGTGTAGGGAAATTTAATAACTCATTCCACAGACCCAAGTGCTTGCTTCATCAAAAAGCATCTAAATACCTCTGGAAATAAGGTTTAATCTGATATACTCTAGCCAGTCAAGTTAACACATGAAATTATCCATCACATGTCTACCCTTATCAATATGCCATTCATATGCCTCTCCTAAAATAAATTTATAACCTAGCTACCCCAAGTATAATTGAACATGCACTGGGATGTCTTCCCAGAAGAGGACATTAAGACCTTGAGTGACTTTTACTCTTTTCCTTGTTATACCTTAACTTAAATGCTATGATGTCAGATTTAAAAAAATGCTTAAACACTGTGATATATCATCTGTACATCTTATGTTACATGATATGAGATGAAGAGAGTAGGGAAAGCACACACACATCAGACATAGCTAAAAGTGGAGGAAATAATCTTATCATTACAGTCCTTGTTTCTGAAACTGGTCACATGATCATAACTGATATCTATAGCTTTCTTCTACTGCTCTGTTAATCCCATTTTCCTCCAGCAAGTACCTCTAGAGGTACAAAGGTCAGTTAACATATTACACAAGAGCTTATGATGTGCCATTTTTAATGCCTGAGATATTGTGTGATTACTAAAATTCTAAAAGCCACGGGAAAATGAGGACGGAATCTTTATCTTCAATACTGTTTCACACACTGAACAATAGTTGAAGATGTAATAAAACCAAACTGGGATAAAGAAAGTAAGCAGGGAACAAATGCACACTATTTTAGCCTCTGTTTTTTAGAATTTCTGTTCAAGATGAGAATGATCTCTGACCAAAGCACACATCAGGGCTGAATGTTTCAGTTGGTACTCATTAGACAAGGACTCAGATGCACAAAATGAGTCAGGCCTTTTCTTTCCTATTTGTTGCTCGAGTTGTGCAGAACAAACCATGGGATGTGGAATTTCTAGAGATAATCACCCAGTGTGCCCTGGGAGTTCCCCTTTCTTGCTCCCCTGCTGGTCTGTTCCTGAATCCCAGCTCAGAGGTGGGACACTGGACCATATGCTTCCTCTGGATGTGTAGGTCCTGAAGGCTGCAGTTTTTAGCTTGGTTGGCAGTGGGGGGTCACAGGCTTACAGTGTTCCTTCATAATTTTTTGCATCATTGGATCTTCTCCCCCAAAAGCTTTTAGAAAGTGTCTGCCATCATGGGCCACCCAACAACTTCTGAAATCCTACTCAAAGTAGCATGGGAAATAGGGCCCGACCCAGAGGTTTAAAGGACTAGGTGAGGATACAAGAGGTTAATAGAGAGGACTGTTCCATGAATGTGACTGTGTAGTTTAGCGCACCTTGTTTCAACAGTCATATTTGAACTTGTAGATATTGTGCTAATATCAAATCTTCTTTTTCAGGACTATGTAAACCAYGGACAAGAAAAGTAAGTAATTTAAGTGTTTTCTTTCCTCCCTGTATTAAATTTATGGTTAACTTGTCTTTCTCATGTAGTTTTCTTTCTTTTTTTTTTTTTTCATACTTCTGAAAGGTTGTCAGTTGTATCTGTGTTTAGGTGTCTAATGCTCAGCACTTCTAAAACCTTTGTGAGATATAAATGACAGATCTCACTTTTTTGCTCAGAATCCTCCAATGCCTGCCAATCACACTTGGAAGAAAACACTAGATCTTCCTAAGGGCCCAGAGACAACTGTTTCCTACTGTTCTACTGACAGCCAATCCTATTCTTCTCTTGATGATGTTTCTGTTTTCCTAACATGACACATTCATTCCCAAAGTCGGAGTTTTTGCATTTTTCTTTTCCTTCCTCTTGGAACTGTTCTCACTAGAGCTTTTCCCTTGTCATCTTTTGGGTCACAACAGGAATTCTATCTGCCTAAAATAACAGCCTCCTACCCTGCTGCCAACCCAATGTGTTCTTTTTTCCTATCAGGTAAATCTGAAAACGTTTTTGAAAATTTATTTTCTTACTACCCAAAGATAACTGTCAGCAGCCAGAGAGCAGCTGCCTTCTTGATAACAGTTTTTCCTCATTCTTCAATGGATCCTGTCACATTACTTATCATCTGTAAATATTCTTTTATTTTAAAAGAAATAAAATCCAACTGGGAATGGTGCTCAGGAGGCGAGGCTTTGCTAAGCAACTCAGTGAGATCCTGTCTCTAAATAACATACAAAAAGGCCTGGGGATGTGGCTCAGTGGTTGAATGCTCCTGAGTTCAATCTCCACTACCAAAAAAAAAAAAAAAAAAGGAATGAAATCCAAAAGTGATATTTGTAAGTTGCTAATATGTTTAACTTGTTTGTGAAGTCTTGTTTTTTAGTGATATGCAAATTCATTTTCAGTTTTCCATTCAAATTTATTTTCTGTTCTAGGTATTTTTGCATGACTCAGTGCTGTAATATTGTGGACCTCAGTCTTCTGAAATGATATTCCATTCCTCAGGAGTTGCTAATCTATGGACTATGCAAATAAGCTAATGAAGCAGCACTGCAAATACACATTTTCATGAAACATAAAGAACATACTTACCAAATTTCTTCCTCTATTCTGCTTCATAAATACTCATGAAATGCTGCTCTAGCTTTTTGCCCTCTTTGTTTTCAAAGTATATTTTTTTTCAGATAACTGAAAGTGCAAAATTTAAATTTCTAACCAAAATATTATAATTGATTTTTTWAAAAAAGTATTGAACATGWCTTAGGAAAGAATACTCAGCAGACTGAAACCCCAGGCAAACTACTAACCCAGACAGGTGTTTGGAATCAACTAAAAGGAATGCCATGCTTTTCTCTATATACTGAGTCTTCTCAATGATAGATAGCACTATAATATTTGGACTGGACAATTCTTGTTATCTGGGTAGTTTCAGGTGTATAGCAACATCCCTGGCTCCTTCCACACTGAAGTGAAGATGCTCTTAGAAATACTGACTCTTGCCTTTATTTTGGGTTTCCCAATGACAACTCTGATTTTCATGAAGACATACCAGAATCTTTATGCAGGTTACTCTCGGTCATTGTTGATATTCTTTTGCACACTCAGGTATGAAAGCATATTTTCCATCTAAGATGGAAAGGGAAATCTAAGAGCAGAAGGAGAAGGCTGTGGCCAATTCTATTCACAGCCACCCCCCTCAAAATAGAGGAGGATGTGAAACCAAGCATGTTTTATGCAAAAAGCTCTGAAAAATAATATCACACTTTAAATTTCATAGACATAGGATTTCTGAGTCAGAGTTTGATTTATAGATAGCTAGGTAATTCTGAAAGGGTTTGTAATTCTATTTTTTTTCTGCATAATTACAAATTATTTCTCTTTTTCATATTTTAGAAACTTTAGGACAGTCTGGTAACCCAGAGCCCGAGGATTCCTATCCTGGGACCACAAGTGGTTACCCAGAACCCTGGGCTGAGATTCCACTCCCACCATATAGCTTTTCACAGTTTGGTGGACCTGCAGGGACACTATCGATGCCTGTGCCACCACCTCTGAACTGCCCACCTGGATTAGAACATTTAATTCTGGTAATTTCAAATACATAAAATACTCACAAAAGACAAAACTGTGCTTCCAGTTTACTTACCAAATTAGTTATAATGATAAAATGATTAATGATAAAAGTTACAATGATAAAATAATTAGTTATAATGATAAAGCAATTATTTTCTTTTTATTAATTATCTTTGGAAATGGTAACATCATGTTTGGTTAATAGATCACTCCAGTTTTCTATTATCTTGCATATAATGTATGCTTAAAATCAAAAGCAAACACTTGTTTAGCACTATTTTCTAGGCTTTGTTCTAAGCATAATGCATGTATTGACTGAATCCTTATACTGTGTGGTGTATAGAAGCTATAATATTCCGTTTTACACAAGATAAAGCTGAGGTCCAGAGACAATATACAGCTTGCTCAGTGTATAAAACCTAAGGAAGCAGGRCTGGCTCTTTTATCCTGGTACCTTGATTCTGGATCCCATGCCCTTTAATATTAACACTGAATAATTTCCTTGACAGATGAAAAAAACTTTTTATAAGTCTTAAGAGTTCAGCTTCAGTAAGTGGTACCAAAAAGAGTGTTTATGTGTAACATGATGATCATATTCTTATAATTATTAATATTACTTTTWAAAATCAATATTATGTTTATTAYAAATATCAAMAACAAGGAAAAAGAAAAGTTGGATTTTGCAGTACTACATGATAGCTTACTTAGCAATGTGAGAAAGTAAAATAGCACTATGAAGGTAAGTAAAATAAACTATGAAGTTCTMTATGTCTAATCTATAAACAAATAGATATTTCCATGATAAAAACTGATGTTTGCGTAAATGAATTATCTCTTTCCTACTAGCTTACTTTCTCACAATGCACTTAAGTAGTGTTTAACCACTCACATCTTTCCACAAAATACCCTGAAATGTATATATTTTTAAAAATCAAGGTCATAAAAAGTGTTGAAATCTTATTTACCACGAATGATGATATCAAAGTATACTTAAAAGAATACTTTTGAAACTTGCAGAAAAATTCTTTAAGTGGATTAAAAATTGTTCATATTTTATACACCTCATCTCAAAAGAGCACTGTGCTCTAATTTTTATAAATACCAAAATAAGTCAACTTTAATTCACTTAAATTTATCTTCATCAATAGTGAATACTTTCAAATACAGATTTTCAATTTAAAACATGTTAACTATAATTTTACATTAAAAAGTAATATAGACTATAATAAAGATTTAATATGAATAAATGTTAACATGTAGTACTAAACAATGAATTATGAATATTGATTTGTTGGCTGAAACATTTGAAATTCTTAATTTTGTTTTTACTCTAATAGATAGATCAGTTACTGGTTCAGCAGCAAGTTGAAATTCTGGAAGGTATGTATTCACTGTATTCTTCACATTTTTAGAAAGACAGAATATTAAGCAGATGAAACCATATAAACTCCCACAAATACAGCACTCTAGATGACATAGGGTGATAAACGTATTAATGTGCAAATATCTCTTCAGAATAAGCAAACCACGAATGTTATCAGCAATTCATTTCTAATCAAATAAAATTTACAATAAGTTTTATTTACAATAATACATGTTGTTATAGTAAATGTTATTTTTATTGACATCTGTCCTTATGATGTAGAAACTAACCTAGAAGAAAACTATCAAGACGTAATTTTGCTCTTCTCTTTCTCTCTCTCCAAGTCATTCTAAAAGTTTTTATCATTTTACTGGTTTCTACAAGCTCAGCTCTGTTCTCCCTATTTGAGATCACTTTCAGAATAGCACATAATCACATGTATTAGTTCAGCTGCTTTAGTACATTTCCAAAGTGAGTGATCTTCTGAATTCTAATGGGGATGTTTGGGAAAAATTATTGTTCATGCCCACAGTTTCTCCTGGGATGAAATGCACCCTGTGGAATGTGTGGTCCATGGGCTCTGGGTTCCCTGGGGATTATGGGGACAGTACAGGGTTGGCAGATGCTCACCACGGGGTCTGGATGCTTCTTCCTGCAAGAGTGCTGCTGCTCCTGTGTGGGCCCAATGTATCCAGGGCTCCCAGGTTCAGGAATAAACCCACAAAGCCAAAAATACTTCAGGATGTTTGCCAAGGAAAGAGGCCCAGGTAGATGTATGAATGATGGCATCCTCCTTGCAGATATCGAGGCATAATAGAAACTCTGGTGGTTTGTTAGAGACCCATATTCACCTTTTCCACTGGTAGAAAGTTGTATTCCCCTGGTAGACATTAGAACATGAACTGTATTATCAGAGTAATCAATTTTGTTAAAATGCACAATTGTCATCTTTCACGTTTAAATTGCTTATAAATTATTAGATATTTATAATGTTTTGGTGTGGTTTCCATTCTTTAAAATAACTTTTTTTTCTTTAGAGAGCAACAACTTTTTAAATAATTTGTATTCTGAATTAAAAAAAATTCTATTCTATGGATTATAAAATCCAAAAGGCCAGTCACTATATATTATATAGTATTCCATTTCTATTTTTTAGATATATAAGCTTTATGTATATTTCAGTATATGTCTTTAATGTAGAATATATAGTGACAGATTCACTAGTTTTTAATTCTTAATTTTAAAAAGAGATATCTTTAAATTCATCTGTTGTGAGTAAAATGAAAAGTACTAGTTTATTTTTGGCATCTGAAATTATGACAAGCACTTAAACCTTCGCCTAACTGAATACTTAATAGATGCTAACAATATAACTGTGGATGCTTTTGATTTCATTTTTTTCCCATGTAACTGAAAGGAAACTTGAGATTTTGAAAGACTGTTGATCTCATTTTGCAGACACAAGTATAAAAGTTTTGAGATTAAGCTACGTCATCAAGCCACAAGTTGGTTAATAGATGCCCTCTCAGAAATAAATTTAATTTTTAAAATTAGTTTTTAAGCTTTTTCAAAAACCTCAGCTTGTGGCAGATGTTGTGACTAAAGATAGTCCTTTAAAGGCCAAGACTAGGCCAGTTTGAGTCCCCTCAAATTCCTTGAGAGAGGCTACAGTGATAGGASTTGTGAAGGACAAATTCAACTGTTCAGGGTCCCTCTGGTTGCACGTAAGGTTTCCACCATGTGGATCTGTGGGGAGATTTCTTTGGTAAGGTGATGTTTTGGTGTCAGCATCCGTCACTCCTCCCTTTCCCTCATGAAACGATAAGCTACATGAGGTGMTGTGTTCACCCTGGGATGCCCACCATCTAGATATTTCGAGTTGAAGCCCTAGTTCCCTAGCCTGGTCCTGTCCCTTTCCTCCTGCCTAATACCCATCTCTCACTTCTCACTTCTCGACACATCCTGCTGAGCTGAACCAGGGTGCTGTGGGCCCCATGTGATGGTCTAATTCACCTTCCACTTTCACTCTCTCCCTTTTGACATGGGGTCCATTGAGAGCAATCCCCACCCATTGCCACATTGCTCAAACACAAAGGCAAAAAATAAGATACAAATATGGTTTATTAAATAAATCTCCAACCCATTGTTTTGATGTAGTATTTCATAGAATATGGATACAGAAAACATCCTAGAGACCCTCCCTAACATGTGAAAACTACCACTACGTGAACATTTTATCTATGTAGCCAGTGCCACTGTACCCACCTGTAGAGCGATACCAGGAGAGTGACTTGTTTTCTTTTCCATATTTCTCATAATGATTCAAATTCTTTGTACATTAATATCTCTTCTCACCCTTCCCCTTTGCATTTTTTCTCACTCTGATCATCTCTGAACAATATCCCCTTTTCATCTTTCCTCTTCTACTTAGAATAGCATTCACCACTGATCCAGCTAGATATTACAACGTCTTAAGACATATTCAACATTTTTAACATACTGGTGACTGTGATTTCTTCTTTTTTTGTCTTTAGCCATCACAGGTTTCGAAACTAATAACAGATATGAAATAAAGGACAGACTGAAACAGACAATCTACTTTGCCGTGGAAGATAACGATTGCTGCACTCGCAATTTCTGTGGGTATAATAGGCCTTTTACCATAAAGATCCTTACTCTTTCAGGTCAAGAAATCATAATTCTGAAGAGACCACTACGATGTAATAGCTGTTTCTTCCCCTGCTGCCTGCAAAAGGTCTGTGAGCAATTATTAGAAAAGTCTSTGAAGTAGTTCATTAAGAATTTTCACCCTTTCATGGAACTTGCATAACCAAATGAGATCTAGAGGCAAAGTGACCATGAGCTATAGAGTTAGTATTTAGTCAATTGCATAGGAAGGAAGGCATGTAACCAATAGTCTTCTGTCCCTAAATAGTTTTCCCCATAGGGTTGATCAATAGCTCAGAGATGAGAGAATTCTTTATACCTTATACCCAATGACTATGATAGGCATGATCAAAATTGATGGAGTTACACCTTTGAGAATATCGTAGAATACCATTCTAAGAGCACATGGAAGAAGAAATGTGTGGGATCCCATGGGTCTGCAACTCAGTCATCCTATACAGATTGCTGAGAAACCAGGACACAGAGAAAACTCAGTCAAACAGTTATTCGAGGTCTTAACCCTGTACTTACTTTGAGAGGATAGCTGAATTATTCCCATCAAGTGATTCCTATCATTCATTATTCATTAATTACTTTGCTTTCCACATATTTTGGGATAGGAATAATTTAGTACAAATTTTGGCCTCAAAAGAGTTGGATGGGAAATGCTGTGCAGTTGAATAGTGCATTAACATGCATCCTGTTACCTTGAACTTTTCAAAAGGTCATTCCAGGTGAGCACAGTGAGGCACCGTCATGCTCACCCAGCTAATGAATAAGTCAAAATTCCAGTGGCTGGATTCTTTTTTTTTATAGTAGCACAAATGCTCATATTTGAAAATTGCACCATTGAGCAGAGATCTGTCCATATATATAAGCCAGTGGTTTTAAAGGAGTTTAAGAAAACAGTTCCTTAACAATTTAGACAGTCTTTGGAAGTAGGGAACTTGAAAACCATGTAAGTGGAGATCAATGCTTTAGAACACTATCTGTGCAGTCTGCCTGAATTTATGCTCATCTCTTCCGTAAACCGAAGAATCTGGTGCAAGTTTATTTACCCCTGCCTTCTTTAGTCAGGTCCACTATAAAGGATGGAAAGGAATAGTACTGACCTAGTGAGGATGTGTTGGGCATTGGAACAATATCTGACATTGAAAAAGTGCTCAGTAAATGAAAGCTACTAGTAGACATTATGACAGTGATAATTATATTCACAAATGTCCTTTTGCTTTTGTAGATAGAAGTTCAAGCTCCTCCTGGTGTACCTATAGGTTATGTTTCTCAGACCTGGCACCCATGTTTTCCCAAGTTCAGTGTTCAAAATGAGAACAGAAAGGAAGTACTGAAAGTTATTGGTCCAATTATGGTGTGTAACTGCAGCACCAGCATTGATTTTGAGGTAACAGATGCGATGGTTTGCTTTCCTAATATAAAAAGAATCTATTTTTTCACAAGATGGAACAAATATCTTAAATAAGTATTTGTGTACAGATATTTCAAGAGAAAGAAACTGTGCTCCTATATTTACTCTGGGCTCGAGAGACATTTATTGATCCAGTTAAAGGTCAGTATTGATTATGCTAAGTGAAGAAAAGAGAAGCAAAGTCATGTTAAAAAAAATAAGCCAAGTATCTAACACTTAAACATTCTTTCTGTGAGGTGACACTGTATATTATCCATTTTAAATGGAATGCCAATCTTGACAACTCCATGATCTGTACTTTATCTATATCACAGTTTCATAGGATTACCACATACTTCGTTTCATGTGAACAATTAGGTCATTTCATTCAGTTTTCAAAGTCAGAATCCAACTGGTAGTGTGTTAAATTCATTGGCTATTTTTTAATTGACATTTTTATGATGCTAAGGCTTTCACATGCCAGAAATGTTACGACTGTTATTTATCCATGTCTTGTTTTGGATTCTTTATAAGACCACATAAGTTTATATATATATAGAAAATGTGAGCCTTTTTTGTTAAATTTATTCCTAAGTAGCTTATCGGTATTTTTTGATGTTAAAGAGGAATATTTATATTTTAGATGTTTATTGCTAACATTGAGAAAAATCTTTGTGTTTTTACTTTTCATTCAGTCACATGTTTGCATTCTAGTGTGTAGGAGGTGTTTCTCTTTTGTTTACTTGCTTTTTCTATATATGGAATAGCAATATAAATGGGATTGGGAGCTCTTCTAATGTATACATGCTGAATACCTCCTTTTCTGCCATGCTATTTTCAATAGCAAAGATGAATATAATGGTAATAATGGAAATACTGGTAAATGTTTTATAATTCTAATTCTTTGCTATAGTGTTTCATAGTATTTTTTCATTCCTATTTCACCTAGACGAATTAGCAAGCTTTTTTGTGTTTTGAAAATGACCCACACAGAAASTACTTGGAGTTTATGGACGACATGGTAATAATTGTTAACAAGAATGTAGGTACAGAGAATGTAGAATTGGAGAGTTGGCTCCTGACAGAATTTCATTCACAAAAATAGAGTGACAGCTAGATTTAGCTCATGAACCATTGCTCACTGATCCCAGACCTAGACTCTTATTGGGATTTACTACTCAATTTTCAAAAAGGTAGAATATTATGGTCAAGAGTTCAGACTCTGTGATAGACTATCTGAATTTGAAACACATGTCCACAAATTCTTGCCTGGGTGACCTAAAACAAATTACCTAACATTTGTTCACCTCATTTTKTTAAATATAAAAGTTGGGTATAATACTACATGTCTTGCAAGGTTTTTAAGAGAATTACATCACCCCATAATTGAAAACCCTCTACATGCTATGCATATATCAAATATTATATACAAATACCAAATTAGTAACTTAGAAATCGCTTTTTAAGCAACCATTCCTATGATCAGATGTTTTTAATTGCAAAGATATTCTAGTATTTTAGGCTATATTGTAGAACATTCTTCTGATACATACCTTGGCTCTCTGTTCCACTGTTCTTTACGAATAGTGATGTTCACATTATGTCTTTGGTATTCTTTTTTAAATATCTTTATCTGTTATTGGTATTAAGTTGATGGATTTACAAGTTTAGTACTACATAATACACTGCTCTTTTTGTTTTTGTTTATTTTGGTACCAGGGATTGAACTCAGGGGCACTTGACCACTAAGCCACATACCCAGCCCTATTTTGTATTTTATTTAGAGACAGGGTCTTACGGAGTTGCTTAGTGCCTCACTTTTGCTAAGGCTGGCTCTGAACTCGCGATCCTCCTGCCTCAGCCTCCCGAGCTGCTGGGATTATAGTTGTGTGCCAATGCGTCCAGCTACACTGTTCTTTTTTATTTGCACTTTTGATATCAAATGTGCATTTTCTCCCCACAACAACATTCTCCAATTCTCCAGATACCAACTGGGTGTCCTACAACTCAGTTTAATAATGATGTTAACTATCTGACATTAGCACAGACCCTACAGGCTAAGGTCTCAATCTCAAAAGACAGCCTGATTTCAGACACTAATCACAAATCCAAAATTTCCTGCTCTTCTGACCAGCTGCTGATAACATGGGATTTCCACAGCTCCCTTTACAGTTTTGAAAATTTGCTAAAACTGCTCATAAGATCCAGGAGCCCCTTCACTTGTGCTAACAGTTTATTTCAAAGGCTATTATTGTAAAGAATGGAGATGAATAGCCAGAAGAGCTGAGTGGAGCAAGGGTTCAGGGCACCCAGCCCTTGGAGCAGGGGTAGAACATGGAGGTGTTCACCACCCTGGAGAGACTCTGAGTATCCATGATAGACTAATCCATTCTCTACTGGTGGGTAACTCAGACCCCAGCCCCTGTCTCACCACTGGAACTCAGTGTGAGACTGAAATCCAACACTCCAGTCATCACTAGATCTTTCTGATGTCCAACCTCCATGCTAAAGTGAAGCTGTTGGGGATCTACCCTCAATACCCATCTCATTAATGTACAAAAGTCTTCACTCAGTAGAGTCCTGGATTTTGAAGCTGTGTGCCAGGTATCTGGGACCAACACTAAATGAAACAAGATTTTGCCTATCATCCTTATTATTGAGGAAGTTACAGGGTTATAGTAGCCCTGTGTGTTAGGAAGCAGGGACAAAAACTGGACACCTTTTCTTTGGCAGCACAAGCACCAACTTATTTCCAGAGGTCGAAAGACTATGTATAGGAGAATTTAGGGTTTTTAAATGTTCTTTAGAATTTAGCAAAATACCATCTATTATTTTTCAGTTATTTGTGTTCTTATCCTCCCTAAAAGTKATATTTCCTACTTGCACAAATTTTAGTAAAATTTTCAATTTTTTTTTTTTTGCTGTAAGTATCAAAATGGGGAAATAGATCATTACGTTTAGTAGTTGGTTGACAGGGTCTGGTAAATAAGCTATCTTCTGGATTGTTTTCATTTATAAAAATGTTTCAAAAATTAAACTAAATTTAGATAATAAAATGGAAAGTTTTTCATGAGTTGCTTTAAATAATCAGATGACAGCTACCAAAGGAGAAGACACCAAGTTATGCAAGATGAGATCTCCTGAGTCCATTATGCCTCACTAGTGTTGCATAACAAGTAACCCCTAAAACTCAGAAGTTACAAAATACATTGTTACATGCTATGGGTCTGCAGGTCAGCTGTGTTTCTGAGGATATACCAGGTCTCAGAGAGATGGACCAGTTTCAGGTGGCCTCAAGTCCGATCCAGGAATGTTCACTCTGGATTTGTAAAAGCAGTTGTCATCTGGATCCAGTTTTGCTCGTGGCTCTTTACCTGATACCCAGAGTGAAATCACTTAGCCACATTTTTAGGTCCCGGCTCACGTCACATCTGTGAACAGTGCTTATTCAAACAAATGAGAAGGCAAATCTTCGTGGTCAAGGAGCACTGAGATGCTGCAGAGGGAAAATTAAATAAATATTTGGTGAACAGTAATCCGAGTTTCATATTAAAAGTGTATTCCAGGCTGTTAAGAACCCATTCCAACAGATGCAGATAAAACAAATCAAGTGGTTTTAATTTCTCCATTGGTATTTAGCTGGTCCCAGCCAGAGGCAAGGGCTTCAGTGGATGCTTCTAGCATAAGGGGTGCTTRGTTCAGATTATTAAAGGACACACTTTCCTGGGGTAGGTGAAACTTCCCATGGAGGAAGCTTGGTGAACRCTGGCAACGTGCATCCTCACTATCCACCTGGATGAGTACCTGTGTCTGTGCACACGTGAGTCCACTCTACATGAAGATCCTCAGCTTTACTCAGTCATATTTTTTACAATTCTTCCTTTTACCAAAATAGAAAAATTTCACATTGGGGTCTTTGATTCATACTCCTTTCCTTTTTCTTGTTCACCAACCCCACCTATTAAACTGTCTGTCCCACCCTTGACCTGATGGACTGYGCTCATCAAGGTGCTTATAGGTCACTGCTGTGAGGTCAGGCAACAGGTGGCAACCAACAGGAGGCAGGTTTAAAAAGGCCAATGAACGAGGCTTTATTGAGACTCACTACCAGGTGGAACTCGATCAGACCCACAGAGTGGACAGGAGGAGGGTCTGATGAGAAACTGGACTAGAATTTTATGGGGCTTACGGCAGGAAGGGAAGGGCTTGGGACAGGAAAAGGGATTTTTAGAGTTGGTCAGGGGAACTGGCTGAGATCCAGGTTTGGCTAGGAGATCCCGCTGATTGACAGGCGGTTCCTTTGGTGCCTGATTGATGTTTCTTTCCTGCTCACAGGCTGATTGGTGCTTTGTTCCTAAGTCACCGCCACCGACCTGACAGTCTTCTTTCCTAGGTTATTAGCAATGTATGTTTCCCAATAGTGGACGGGAAGAAATCCTTACCAAATATTTAAACTTTCAGACTATGTATACTATCTGTGCTTCCTAAAGTAGAAATCAGAGACATGTTTTACTCAGTACCTTTCTGACAGCTTCTAGAATGTTCATCAAAGAAACATTTCAAAATTTTATACATTTTTGCTTCAACTTTGATGTGGATCAATTCAAATGATTTATTATTTTCTTAAGTAAGACAAAATGTTAGATTTCAGCAAAACTATAATTATCCTTTTTCTGTATGATGAAACAATTTTTTCATGTATCTATAAATACGCACAGGAGCCTATTGCGGGATACAATATTTGTATTGTAGTGAGGGATACAATATTTGTAGCTACATGTAGTGCATAATTTTAATAGACTATTTACAATATTCTATACAATCTGGATTATATAGATTGTTTTATTTAACTCCAGATTTGAAAGTAGGTTTGTTAATAGTTTACTGGACTTAAGACTTATTTTTTGTTTGTTTTGCTTTGCAATTCAGGTTAAATCTCTTCATAAAGGAAMTGTGGTTGGCAAGATTTCCAAGCAGTGGGCTGGTTTTATCAAAGAACTTTTTACAAACAGTGATAACTTTGGGATCCAGTTTCCTTTAGACCTCGATGTGAAAATGAAGGCTGTGATGCTTGGGGCCTGCTTCCTCATTGTGAGTCTGTCCTTTCTGATCCTGGTTGTAGGTAGTTTCTATCTATAATGACTGCCTATCTAATGCTGGCTTCAGTATCATTGTGAAGTGATTCAATGAAGTGTGCATTTTAAGATGACCTTAAAGGAACAGGTTCTATGCAAGAGTTCCCACTTAACCTACCTCTGAATTTCTATTCAATGCTTACACTTTGGATTCTCAAATGCCTAGTTTTTGTCCAAAAGGCCTGGCACTTTCCATTGAGAAGAAAAGAACTTTCTATACAGCAGAGGTCCTGGTTTGGGGGTAATAATAATAATAATAATAAAGTTGATGCTTAGGAGAGGAATTTGAGTTAAGACTTACATGGAATAAAACTGTGAAACATGGGGATTTTATCTTGATTCCTTATTAAATGAAATCATGTACTACTGAAGTATAGTACTTCAGTTAAAAAAAAAMAAACAAACAAACAAAGAACCAGGCCATACCCCAATTCAACTAAGTCAGAAGCTCAGAAGAAAAAGGTTTGTAGAGCATCCCAAGAACTTCTGCTGTGTAGTCAAATTACAAGGTTAACGRGACCAAGCAATGATCTTCAACTTTAATGCACAGGAGAAAACACAGGTAGTTTTCAAACTTCAATGTCCAGATTGTATCCAAATGTATTAAGCATAAATCTCTGCAGATGGGAGGGTCTTCACTCTGTTTAGAACTCCMAGGTGACTCTAGTGTGCAACCAAGGTTTGGGACCACTAGATAAATACCTTAAACATTGATTTGATTTGGGGATGCAATCAGAAAAAACCTAATAGTTAAGGATATACAGCAAAAGGATCTAATTTCTTCAACAGATAAATAACAAAGAAAATTTAAAAATAAAAATACAGAAATTTGAGAAACATCAACCTAATTATAGTTTGTGGACCAGGTTTGAATACTGATTTGAAAAAACTAATGTAACAACATTTTTGTGTTTTTCAGGGAAATTTGAATATTGACTGGCTATTTGATGGTAAAATGGAATGATTGATTTTTTAGATATAGTAATGACATTATGTTAGGTAAAAGCAAAACTGAATCCATATCTTTTAGAGGCACATACTGAAGTATTTCAGAGGATGCGTTTTAAATAGTATTGGAGAGTCGCTTTTAAATAATGGGGGTGAAAGCAGAGAATTCTAGGAAGTTGAATAATTAAGCAAATATGGTTATGTTAATAATTACTGAACTAGGTGAAGAGTCACTAGGATTTTATTATACTATTCTCTCTAATTTAGCATATATGTAATATTTCTGTTAATAAATATTAGTTCAATTTTTAAGTAATAATATTATTGTGATATTTATAGGGTTTGCTATGAGGTTTTGATATAGTATACAATGTGGAATGATTAAATCAAGCTAATGAATATATCCTCAAGTTCCTGTCATTCTCTTGGGGTATGAAGATGTAAAATTCATTATTTAAGCAATTTTGAAATTTGCAATATGTTATTACTAACTGTGGTCTCAGTGTTGTGCAGTAGATCATTAAAATATATTCTTCCTAATGAAACACATTTGGAAACTTTGATGAATCTCCTGTTTCCACAGTCCACCTCCCTAGCCTCAACTTCTGAGAACCACCATTCCATTCTCTACTTCTGCAATTTCAGCTTTTTTAGATACTACACATAAGTGAGATTGTGAGAATTTTCTTTCTTTCCCTGGTTTACTTCACAAAGTTTAATATTGCCCACAACAGAATTTCCTTGTTAAGGCTGTATATCCATTTTGAATGTGAATCATATTTTATTTATCCATTATTTTTTCCTACTATGATTTTTACCTAGGGGAACTTAAGCTACAACCCAGCCTTTTATTATTATTATTATTATTATTATTATTATTATTATTATTAATGTTGAGACAGGGTCTCACTAAGTTACTGAGTCTGGCTTTCAATTTGTGATCCTTCAGCCTCAGCCTCCTGAGCTGCTAGGATTATGAGTGTGTGCCACCACAACTGACTCTATTTTTTGATGGACAGTTATGTTGGGTCTGTATCTCTGTTATTGTGAATCATGCTGCAATAACTATGGGAGTCTAGATGTTTCTTTGGCAGATATCTTTGGCTATTCTTTTGGATAAACATCTAAAAGTAGGATGGGTCATATGTTAATTCTTTTTGAGTTTTTTGAGCTATTTTCCATAACAACTATACTAATTAATATTCCTACCAAAAGGAATATTCCTTTTGAACACATTTTTTTTCTTTTTGATAATAGCCATATTAACAAGGGTGAGGTGATATCTCATTGTGGTTTTAACTTGCATTTCTCTGATCGTTAGGGATGTTGAGCCTTTTTTGCATATATCCATTGACCTTTCCTGTGCCTTCTGTTGAAAAATGATCCTTTGCCTGTTTTTTGGGTGTGTGTGTGGTGCTGGGGATCCAACCTAAAACCTCTGCATGATAAGTAAGCATTCTACCACCAACTTATATATCCACAGCAGTTTTAATCATTGTATGTGTTTTCTTGCTATTTAGTAGAGTTCTTTATACATTGTTGTCATGAGGGGGAAAAATTGCTACATATGCACTCAAGGGGAGAAATAAAGAATGTCCATGCACTTCTGCCCCTTTCATGCTTTATTCATTCAAATTACTCAATACAATTTTACTCTATAGGTTCTTAATCAAGAAAACAACGGTCCTTAATATTAGGCACTGCAATAGACATAATCCACTCACAGCAAACAATCTAGATTAATTAATTTACTGAAAAAAATTCTAGATTAATTCTAAGCACTGCAAACACACTTAATTATGACAGGCTCATGACAGACATTCCCTCTGCATGCTAAGTTCAAATGTCAGATCAAAGGTCTTAAGCCTTAGGCTTTAAGTCCAGCAGATGCACACTCACTCAGACTGCAGTGATCAGGTCCAGAACCAAGGCAGGCTTTTCCTGGCATGGAATGGACCACCGGTTGAGGAGAGGGTCATACAGAGAAGTTGCGGCTCTCATCAAGGTTCAGATGAGAYGGTAGAGTTTGAGAGCCRTGAGGATCGTGCARAGGATCAGGAAACTGATGACAAGTGATGGGATGTCAGTTCAGATCCTCATCAGGATCTCCACCTGGAGTGCATCCTTGTTTTGGCTGGCTGAATCCCTGTTCATCAACTCTATACTAAATTTTGGGGCTTTTGACTCCTCTTTTCAATCATTACCAGCTACCACTGGATTTCTCCATGACATCATTTACCCTGGGGTCAGAAACACCTGGTCTGGTGGTCTCCACTCTGATCTTCTYGCCTTTTCCTCCTATCAGGCGAGGACAGCCTGCCAGGGGCTTCACTCTGTTTATCAGGGTGAGGGGAAGTAACTTGTTTGAGGCCATACTGGAGGGATCTGTTGGATGTACCTGGTGAGACTGCAGGTTTCAAACTGGAGTTTTTAAAGTGGAGTTGCTTAGGCTCAGGCCTAAGGCCATCCTCACAATTGTGGTTCTTAAGCCCTTTTCAGATGTATGATTTCAAGCATTTTCTCTCAACCCACAAGTTATCTCTTGCCTCATTGGTTGTTCCCTTTGTGATACAGGAGTTCATTGAATGGATGAAATCACATTTATTGACTTTTCCATTCGATGCCTGTGCTTTTGGAATCATATCCAGGAAATAATTTTCCAGATCAATGTTATGAATCTCCCCTCTTAAATTTTCTTCTTGTAGTTYATAGTTTCAGGTCTTACATTTAAGCCTTTAATTCATTTTTCATTGGCTATTTGAAATGGCTATTTGGCTAATGACCTGGTTTCGTTATTTTGCATGTGGCTATCCAGTTTCCTAGCACCATGTTGTGGTTTAGATGTGGACTCCCTCTAAGCTCATATGTAAGACAACGAAAGAAAGTTTAGAGAKGAATGATTGGATTATGAGAGCCTTAACCCAATCAGTGAATTAATCCCTTGGTGAGGATTAACTGAGTAGTAACTGAAGGTGGGTAGGGTGTGGCTAGAGGAGGTCGGWCCCTTGGGTGGGCCTGCCTTTGGGGGTATAAATTTTGTATCTTGCTAGTGGAATCACTCTCTGCTTTCTGATCATCCTGTGAGCAGCTTCCTCTGTACACTCTTCCTCCATCATGGTCAGCCTCACCTTGAGGCCCAAGAAATGGAAACTGCTGTCTTTGGAGTGAGCCCTCTGAAATTGTGAGCCCCAAAATGAAATTTTGCTCCTCTAAAATTGTTCCTCTCTGGTCTTTTAGTCACAGCCACAAAAAGTTGACTATAACACACCATTTATTGATGGCACTGACTTTTCCCCATTGTGTATTTTTGATATCTTTGTCAAATATCAATTGATCATTAAAAAATGGGTTTCTTTCTTTCTGGGTTTTCTGTCCTGTTCCATTAGTYAGTATGCCTGTATGAGAACCAAACTGTTTGAATTGCTGTAGTTTTTTAACATGTTTTGAGACCAGGGCAAGAGGTCCTCAGATTTGTGTTTTTTACTCAAGATCGCATGACTTATTCAGGTTCTTTTGTGGTTTCATACAAATATTAGAATTGTTTTTTCTATTTTTTGAAAAATTATATTGGGTTTTTGATAGGTATCACACTGAACCTATATTTTATGCTGTGTTGTATAAAATCTTAGTGATATTGATTTCTCTAATCCATGCTTGCAGTATAGGTTTCTGCTTATTTGTGTCATCTTCAATTTCTTTCATCAATACCTTATAGTTTTCACCATACAGATCTCTTACATCCTTGGTAACACCTAAGTAGTTTATTTTTTTATACACAATTGTAAATGGGATTGTGTTCTTAATTTGTTATACATACAACTCTTGTCATGAGAAAAGTCATATTACTAGAGAAGGACTAAAAAACATTAAGGGAGAAAGATTTAAATAGGAGGATTTCAAGGGGGATGAGAAAAAAATGACATTCATGGAAATTAACAGAGGATCGACTAAATTCATTTAGAGATCAGGATATAGATGGAAAGAAGGGATTAAATTGCTACTAAGTGGGGAGCTGACCTCAGAGCTTGCATGGCTGCAGTCTTTCCTAGATCTACTCTACACTGCATTTTTCTTGCTCAGCAGATGTTTCACTGTGTGTGACCAGTTCCTTCAGTTTTCTGCCTCTGAGAATCCATCCCCTGCTTTACCAAAGAAAATTCACAACTGAATTTTTCTTTTTTTTCTAGGACTTCATGTTTTTTGAAAATACTGGATTACAGAGACCAAAAATAGGAATATGGTAGTGGATTTGTGAAAGTATCCTCAGAAAATTTGAAGGCTGCGTATTGATAGAGATCATCTAATAGGAAACCTGGTGGCTTCTTCGTCTCTGTGGAAATCACTCACATCTGAATAAAATGAACCGCAATGCCCACACCTTCCATTGTAGGGTTTTGCTTTAATTAGAGATTGTTTTCTGTCTCTAGCTGTCTTATGAACGTTCACACACACCTGTGTGAAGGCTCACAATGAATGTGGGAAAAGAACATTGKGGGGAGTTGGAGTTGTGGCTCAGTGGTAGAGTGCTTGCCTAGCATGCATAAAACACTGGGTTCCATCCTCAGCACCACATAAAAATAAAAATAAAGATACTGTGTCTACCTAAAACTAAAATATAAATAGTTTAAAAAAAAAAGATTTTAAGGGGGACTTTACATCTAGGAATGAATATTTATATGAAAAACTGCTTTAAATTTCAATCTCCTATCTATATCTCATAACAAAATAAAGTCTTACTAAAGCAATTTTAATAAAAATAACTATTAAATCCAGTTGTAATTTATGCAAGAAATCCTAATGCTATGTTGAACATAACATCTATTCAAAAATTTTAAGAAAACCACTTTCTGTTTCCTTTGCCATTATGGTCCAACAAATACTACTCAGTGTGGATATTAAGAAAAAGTAAATTTTTTCTCTTTATGAAATTACATTATATTTAAATGCTCCTATTAATTCATGTACTGCTATAAGTATAATTTTCACACTAACAAGACACTAAATTATAACTTTTAAATGGTTTTCATTAAACAAAGCATGATTCTCTGTCAAAGAAACACTCAGTTCAAAACCTCATTTGACCATATATGGTGGTGCACATATATGTCCACTGTAATTCCAGTGGCTCAAAAGACTGAAGAAAAAGGATGGTGAATTYAAAGCCAGACTCAGCAACTTAGTGAGAACCTGTCTCTAAATAAAAATATAAAAATGGCTGGGGAATGTGGCTCAGTGATTGAGTGCCCCTGGGTTTAGTCCCCAGTATCTCCCCCTGCAAAAAAAAAACAAACAAAAACAAACAAACAAAAACAAAACAAAACAAACAAACAAAAACTCCAAAACAAACCCTCACTCTCTCTAAAATTTTACTATTGCTATAATGTTAGAAGTTATTATTTACATGTGAAATGTTTAGCTCCTGTATTCTAACAATCCTGGAACATGATAAGAATGAGATTAATCAGGTGTTAATTAAATGGAACAAATACGTTCATCCACAGATTATGAACTTCAAAAATAGTCAAATCATCTACAACAATAATCAAATATCTAAAAAGAAAACTCATTGTTGTATTTTTGCATATATTATTTTATTTTTAAAATAAAATGTGGTCCTTGGACTCAGATGGCACTCTGAGCTCATCTAACCCAGTTAGACGAGTTCCCCTCACTCCATTTCCTCTTCAAATTCTCCCTTCTCAAGAGCCAGGGCATGTGATGCCTTTTGGTAGGACCTGTACCAGGGCACAAGCTGGGTCTTCTGCCTGGCAGAAAGGCAAAGATGGCTGCCATCTGCTCTGTGGGGAGCTTGCCTTGGGAAGGAGATGAACAGCCATGATTTGCCTCATGCACAAGACAAAGGGCTCAGGAAATGAACCCCAGGAGACCTCCTTTTGTCCTAAGCAGAGCTCCAACAGCAGCCACTGTCCTCATCCCAAGCATGAGCTCCAGCAGTGCTCCAGCAACCCCAGTAGCTCCACTGGAAATGAGGAGGACAACAGCAGGACAGAGACAATACAGAAGAAGCAATGTCCAGGTGAGCTCCCAAAGCCTCTGCAGCTCACCAGAGGCCAGGCTCCAGGGATGAGCTGTCACCATGACACTCACTCCAGCTTGTGCTGGGAAGGCAGCCTGCCAAGTGAAGGGGGGTGCCTGCAGAGTGGGGTCCCCAGGTTATTGGTCATGCCAGTTGGAGAAGGGAGGCATCCCAAGGCAGCAGTCAGGTGCCAAAATCAACCTAAAAGGAAGCATAAAGGACCTGACATTTCTAAGACAACTGAATCTCTGATTTCTTCTCCTCTCTCCTCTGCATGGGATTCTGGATGTCTGGTTAAGCAAAGCAAAACTACAACTGATCTACACAGTTCCTACCTTCAACTTAGCAAGGAAGGTTTCRGGAGAAACCCACACACCATCCCCTGGACCTATGAAGTTCATATTCTAGACWTAAGTCTTATTCAATATTCATAGAGAAAATCATCAAACATGAAGTATTAACAATTTAATAAAAAATACCAAAAATTGCAAGAAATATCTGCATTTGTAATCTCAAAGGGATTTGAGGGCTGTCACAGGCTTGTTTTTATTACTTCTACTATAGGGATCGTAGCAGTGCAGGGAGAGTGACCCAGAGCAAGGGTGACATGGAGAAGAACCATTAAGACAGCTGTGGATGGAGCTGTGTTTTCAGTGCTGAGAAGGGAACTCTGTGCAAGAGGTCAGTGGGTATGGGGTGAGAATGCAGAATGGAGGGAGAGGGGAAAGGTAAAGGGTTTCCCTGCCTGGGCTTAGCACTTCTTGGTGGGAGGAGGTCTGAGATGTGAGGGGGTGTCAGAAGTGCAACCATGGATAAGAAATGGAAAAATAAAAACCATCAGATACAGGCAAACTGCCCACAATTGTGCTCTAGGCTTCTGACTTCCTTTTAGTTTGCTGCTCTCTGGAGCCCAGATATTAAGGTTTTAACTGAGCTGGAGTTCAACAAAAGCAAGTGTGATTTTTAAACTAATTAGAAGAAACTCACTTAAGAAATCGTACCATCACCTAGGAAATTATGATCTGAAATGCTGCTGGGCACAATTACTCTCGGGGCTGTCAAGTGCCAGAAGGGTAAACAAAGTTTCTGTGTCCTGCTCTACCTCTGCTCTGTCCCTCCCAGCCAAAACCTGGCTTCTTGTTTTTGTTTGTTTGTTTGTTTGTTTGTTTAATGTTCCTGCAGAAGACACTATCTCTCTGGGGCTCTGTGTCCATCCTTCCGCTTTAATTTCCTCACTGTCAGTCATACATTTGTCTGCTAATAGTATCCATCTCAGAAGTTAGGTGTTAGGACTGGGATCTGCTGTAGGGCCATGAGCACATCCCCAAGGAATCAAAGTATAAAATGAAAAAGGCTTTGTGTTGATTATGATCAGTGCTTTTCAAAACAGAGAAGTGGCTCATACCAAAGCGAACGTTTGGGCTAAATTGGACTTAGATGTTATGGCTTAGCATGACACATAAAATTCACTCTGCACCGTAAGGCAAGTACCATTTCTTCCCTCTGGAGAGAGAGAGGAAGTCCACGCACAAGATGGCAGCCGGAAAATGATGATTCCCTTCTCAAAGATGGGTGGAATACCATCTGGACAGAGAGGCACTGACTTTTCTTTCTTCACCTCATAAACTCCAAATGTGACAAGCCACTGAAGGGATTAAAATTCTTGATTATGAAACTAGAATAAATGTAAGTGAAAAATACAGGGTTTGAACTTGAGGCTCAATTATAAGCAGAGAACCAAAGGATGTGATCCACAGAGCCAATAGCCACAGAGCTCTGAATTCACCTCCCCACACCACACATTAAAGTTAACCTTCCATCTACTTGTAATATTTATATGGTAGAAAATACCCTATTTATGCCAAATGACAGCTCATACATTTTTCTAAGTTGGAACTTGACTAGATTTGGAAAATGGATGCTTAAATTCCACCTGTCTACTAATGACAGTTGGTGTCTGCCTGTGAATTCTGGTTTCCTGTCATTAATATTGAGGTTCTTCTGTCTGTCTGTGATAGGGAACAAACAATAATGCAATTCTTTCCACAGGATAAATTTCCTTTGAGAATGAATTGGTAGAAAACATTTTAACCTTAGTCAAGCATTGTCTGTAGACATCACTCATCTAGAAATGACTTAGAGGAATTTTCCATTGGATAAACTTTTKGGATTAAATCAAATCACGATCAACTATGTAACGACTGAACACGTTTCCATTCATCCTACTTCCAGAATTCTCTCCCATTATTTCTGATCATAAGCAGAAGAGGATTTACTCACAAAATTCATTTTTTTCAAGTCTATTTTTGTGTGCATGTGAAGATTCACTCATACAGTTCATAGAAATCTAATTGTGACATTGAACTCCTTAGAATTGAAATGAGAACCTACACAGGTCATGAGGACTTTTTTTTTTTTTTTTTTAGTTTAACCCTTATCAGTCTTCTGCCTCTTGCTATCGATATTGTTATCCTTATCATCTCAAATGCCTCAGCCTCCTCGTCTTCATTTCATCTTTTTCCTCACCATTCTAAAAGTAMAAAATTGATTTTAAGAAGCTAAAGTCATCCATCGGTCATTTAGTAAATGCACAGAAAGTTCCTGCTCTGGTCTGTTGGTCCTGCTAGGCATGTTGGTCTCAACAACAGAATTTTTATACTTAAGATGCTTRAGGGCAGGCATACAGGTAGAAAATGTCCTGGTGGGGCTCATGGTACCCACAGGAAGTGCGCATTATGGACATGACCCAGTTCAATGGTCAGGAAGCACTTCCTGGAGSAAGTGGGTTTTAAACTAAGAAAGTTTGCTGGGCAAAAAGGAAGCAGGGGAAAAGAATGTGAGCGGAAGCCACATAACGGGTCTGCAGTATGGCTGGACCACCTGCTTTGTGTTTCTGTGAGTGTTGTGGGTTATGGAAATTGGAGGCGGCAGTGGTGTGTGTAAATGAAGGATGGCTTGACCATACAGTGCCCTTTTAGCCACATTCAGAAGTTCAGGCTGTATCCTCAGAGCAATAGCAGAGTTTGGCCATGCCAGTTTCAGATCTCTGCTACACCTGAAGTTATTCAAGGCCTGTTCTGTGCTCACATATCTGCAAATGGGGCACCCAACACACGTGACCAACTTTATAATAAAGAAGATGCACTACTATAAATGTTGTAAGGAATATAGTCTCCAAGGCCCAGCTTATCTAATAGGTGTTCATTT